ATATTTAAATTTAGTAATAATTTTAATTTTGAAAAGTAATACATTTAAATTTAGTAATAATTTTAATTTTAAAAAGTAATACATTTAAATTTAGTAATAATTTTAATTTTGAAAAGTGATATATTTAAATTTAGTAATAATTTTAATTTTGAAAAGTAATATATTTAAATTTAGTAATAATTTTAATTTTGAAAAGTAATATATTTAAATTTAGTAATATATTTAAATTTTGAAAAATAATTATAAAACCACCTTAATTACTCCATGCTTGCTCCACTAATAATTAAGCAGAGTATATCGCGATTAATTTGATACACTGGGTGTCCACAACTGGGCGCCACTCCCCACTATACTCAACCGTTCGTGAATGACTCGACTTTTCAGCTTCTGATCGAGATAAACAAGTCAATCCGAGTCACGACTACTTACACGAACTCTGCCATGAGTGCTTGCGTGCTTCACGATTATTTATCTGCCATATATGTTAAACTTAATACATGACGCGTGTACGTGAAACTCAATGTATCGCATGTACGGGATTCTCAGTTGTATCTCATGTTTTGCTGCGAAAATTGTTACATAAACAGAGACAGAAAATTTTATGCTATTTATAAATATAACGATTAGGTGTACTGCAAATATTGAAATATTTAATGAAATTCTGTTTCGATGGTCGTTTGAGATTATTTTTATTTTCGTACGATAATTGTGGAATTTAATTAAATTGTTTTATGTGTATTATAGGGTGGTTTAATCTTTTAAGGTTTATTTTTTTATAAGAATTTATGATGCGTGAGATGCTTTAGTTAAATGGTGTGTTTGATTTTTATGCAATTTTTAATGCATTTTTAGATCATTCTTAATGATTAATCTTTAAATTTTATATAATTTTTATTAGTTTAATTGAAATATATTATAATATATATTAGGTTTGATTTTGATATTCTAATAAAATTGAAAATGATGTGCATTTTAATTGTTTATTGGTACTACAAATAAAATTAACACAAATAGCTTTCATTAATATTCTTAATACAAAATGGGTGACTCTCTTGTATATCCACATGTTGGTCCAATATTATAATTGAATTTATTTATGGAATGATTTCAATGAATTCTCAAATTCTTAAATTTCAAAATTCCAAAATTGCCAAATTACCAAATTACAAAGTTACCAAATTACCAAATTACAAAGTTACCAAATTACCAAATTACAAAGTTACCAAATTACCAAATTACAAAACCAAATTACCAAATTAC